TGCTCCACAGACATCAAAGTTCAGTTTAATTAAATAGTTTTCTGGACTGATAGTTTTTATCCCTTTTATATCGGCAGTTCAGTCAGACAGCAATTCTTTAACAGATAAAAAAAAGTTTTTTAGAAAAAGGTACTATACTTCCAAACATAGAATACTATATTTTTGTCAACTCTGTAAGGTTTAGGTTAATCTCCCCCCTTCCCGCTCCCCCCACCCATGGCACTAAGTTAGCCATTTATTCCCTAAGTTTGAGTAAAACACTGTAATAAGCACTAGAGATACAAAGATTACTAAGACATGGGTCCTTTCCTCAAAGAGTACAACGCCCAGACACAGAAGTTCCACATAACCTGAAAGCACTATAGCAGAAGTGCTAAGGGATCATTAGCACTTGGTTCAGGCTGAAGGTTTCAAGAAAACTAGTTATTAGCCCAATAATAGTCAATAATAGCATTAAAATTCTGGAAACATGGTTACTTTGGATAAAATTTGCAAGCTAAGAAAGTTATCCCATAACCTATCCTAGAAAGGCCAATATAAATTATGCTCAGAATGATCATCCCAACCTAATTACATCAGAATCTCTAGGGAGCTGGAGCCCAGGCAGCAGTATTTATAACCCCCCACCCAGTGACTACATGATGTGCATACAAGGCTGAAAACCACTGGCTCACTAATTGATTAAGTCATTTTATCATGACTGATTTAAGTTTAGAAGCCTAGCAACATACAGATTCCTGAGGCTAGATTAGTAGACACTCAGGCTCTACAAAGATCCATGATCTGAAATTGTTTTTACTGTGTTTTCACTCGCACCTTATTTTTTGATATGTGCTAATAATACAAATATAAGGTTTCATGTTGGGTATCTCATGGTACTTCTGGCATAAGCCAAGAAAATTCAGTGACTGTCAATCCTCAATGATATGTACTGCCTAAGATGTCTGATTTTTTAAACTTTCAAAGCCAGGACAACTGAGGCCTGTAGAAATCATAAACTTTCAATGTATGACTCAGTCCTACAAGAATCACTTTTATCATTTACTTTCAAAAAGAACATCTGCACATAACCATGTTGAGAACCAAAAACCAGCACATAAAAAGGGCTTATCTGTGATACGACTGAGCTCTAGACAAATAAAGAAGAGACAAGAGTGAGATGGAGTGGGTGGGTGGGTGGGGCAGATTCTCAGAAAGGAAGACTTGAGCGAGAATGACAGGCTTGGATTGGAAAGAGAGAGAAAAGCATTCTAGCAGTCATTAAAGAAGAGGGTGTAACAGGAACAGCATGATGAAGGGGAGAAAACGCATGGTACTTTGGGAAAGGACTGAGGAAACACAAGAGTCTCCTTAAAGGAGACCAATATCCACACTGGACAAACAGGGTGGGGCCAAGTTATGGAAGACCTTGATGGACAGGTTGAGGACTTTAAACTTAATTTGCCTGAAAAATGGGGTTACACTTTGGTTTATTATCAAACATGATTTGAGAAGATTCTTCTTGCAGATTACTAAGCAGAATGTCTTGAGATTCAAGGGGCTGGGATTGTTGAAGAAAAAAAGAACACTTCAGTATCTTCCAAACACAGCTTCTCTGAATACAACAGGCATTTAAGAAATGTGAGATTTTAAAAATGAACACTCTACAGCACAATATGCACGTTGGTATTGCTCCCAAATGAATGTCAAATTAATTTTAGAAGTCAAAGGATTTATAGAAAGGTCTGTTAGTTCTTAATATTTTAAGTTATTACTGTAAAGCTTATTATAGGAAAGCTAACAACATATCCAAAAAATTATATATCCATCTGCACTATTTTTACTAAGAAAGACAATATTCAACTTTTTTCTCCTGAAAGAATTGCTTATGCGTCTAAATCTAATGAAAATAAATACAATCAATAAATATTAAGACAGTATTTTTAATATTTTTTTCCTTAAAATAAATGTTAATGCCAAAATGGACGGTTTAGGGAGCTTGCCTTTTAAACCATTATTTGGCATAAAAGAGAGCTGTTGGAGGTTTGGAAGTATGATTATCCTTAGGTTTCCTACCTGAAAGGAAAATATAGCAATGATCCTAATAACTGGGTAATGCATACTGTGTATGCATGTGACTCCCTATTATTACCAGTAACCACAATTGTAGAAACATTTAAAATTTAGACAAGTTAGAAAATCAGGTAATATCACAAAAAAAAACTGCAAGCAGCTAAAAAATATTTCACAGCTAAACCAAACCATTTCCCCCGATATTTTTAATTAAGAATTCATCAGTATAAGAACTGTATTTGTAGTATGAAAAAATAGACTATGCAAATTAATATTATAGCAAGATATATTTCAGTTTATTTAAATATAAAAAACAGTTTGAATTAAGTCCATGCTAAGTATAACCCACTTTATTAATACTTGTTTCTTAGAACACAAATAGCGCTTCCTGCTCACTCAAACCATGTTACTATATGTATCAAAAATATATACATTTCTTATACATTACACTTTAAGCCTTTTCATTATGTCACTACCCTTTTTCTCAATCAGGATAAAATTTTACTATTTTAGATTATTAAGATCAGATTAGCATTTTAACAGGTTAATATTCTGTATGTAAAAGTTAGGGTCTTATGTATGCTCTTCACTTACTGAATCTGAAAAAAGTTTAACAGCTTAAAATATCTAGGAGCTTATATTTGTAAATATGACTTTTTTTTAAAGGTTTATTTATTTGAGAGAGAGAGAGAGAGCCCGCACACAATCTTAAGCAGACTCCACGCTGAGTGCAGAGTCCAACAAGGGCTCGATCTCACAACCCTAAGACCATGACCTGAGCCAAAATCAAGAGTTGAACGCTTAACTGACTGCGTCACCCAGGCACCCCTGTAAGTATGACTTTCAAACGCTATTTTTAATTTATAAAATATGACCAGTAGCTAAACTGATGCTAACAAAGCAAAAACATGACAAAAAACAAGTAATTATCACTAAAAAGCCTTTAAAAACACAATCACATTTCAAATAACTCAAGCTGGAGTTATCTGCCAAAATCTTAAGACTAAGAAAGAAAATTAATATTCAAATTAATATTTTTATTTTTAACTTCATCCCAGAAAATAACCTAGACCATTCTAATCTACTATTTTGCTTGTGGTACAGTAGTCCTTTTCTTTAGATTATCAAGATAATTTTTTAAAATATATTAAATCAATCATGTATCTCACATGAAATTTTAGAAGTTTTATTCTCTTAATAAAAATGTAAGGGCCTCACCATAAGATACTCCAAAATATCAGATAAATAAATACTCTTGTAGTTCATTACTGTAACTGATATATAAGAAATCCTGTTCATTACAGCAAAAATGTCAAGCAAGCCTTTATGGGTTTATGTGATGTGATATAAACTGTAGCAATAATTCTTTGGAAAGAAAGGTTTTCTTTAGGAACAGCCAAAGAACCCAAGAAAGCAAAAACCTATAACGAAACTTGCATTCCCCCCGCACCCCCAAAAGAAACCTGCAGCAGGGGGCAGAAAAGAAAACGGAAGTTTAAAATAAGGTTTGATGAAAAGAAAAAAACATAATCTGCTTCAGGAAATACAGTGAAGGGGTTGTCAGGGTCTTCTCTATAGAATGGTTGAATCTGAACTGTTTTAAATCAAAACAGAGACGCGATCAGTTGGGCTATGACACATGACTTACAAAGCACAGCTACAGCCCCAGACTCGAACATGAGACATTCCTCCTTATGCCTAGTTTCCACTATGAGACTGAAAGGTGGGGGATCCAGTTTGTGATAGATTCGAAATCCTTTGCTGAACGCCATTCTCCTTTCCTCAGAGGCAGCCCTGTGAAAACCAAGCAAAGCAAATGAAGCTAACGTTTCCTTCTGCAGCAAGGACTGCAAGGCATCCAGAAGTCCCTCCCTGCCGGGTTTTGATGGGGGGTGGGGTGGAAAAAAGGGGAGCTCAGGGAGAGAATGGTTTATTCCAAAAGATAAGCCGTCACTTCATTTTACCAAAAGGCCAGGGGAAAAGCTACCCATTCTCCCGGCAAGGCAACATAAGGTTTAATTACTCTAAGTCCACGAACGGTTTGGTTAAGATGAGTTCCCCGTTTACTTTGTTTACCAAAAAGGAAAGATTTTGAGCGTATTTCGCTCGGAGTTGTTTATCAGCTTCCTGCTTCAGGATTTGTCACTACGCTGAAAGGGGACAGATTCGGAAACTTCAAGCCGTTCCTTGGCCGGGGAAGGAGAAGAGGTGGGAGGGAAGGTTAACGAGCCTGCTTCAAAGCTCCTTAGGGGCCAGGAGGAGGGAAAGGATTATCCGACACGAACGGCTCTCCCGGGGGCGGCAGCGAAGGGCAAGGAAAGCGGCACAGGTTGCCGCCGGCTGGGGGCACGGCAGGCGGGAGCCCGTAAATATGAATGGCCACCCGGGAAGACTCACGACACGGACCGGACCGGGGCTCCTCGGGGGTCCCGGACAGCCGACCGCCCGGGAAAGCGGCTCCTTCCCAGGGGGACGAAGCCGCCCAGCCGCCCAATCCCTCCATTATGCGCCAGAGACGAGGACCCGGCGCCCAGACCGACTTGGTTCCTCTCCCGCGGACAGGCTGACAGCCGCTGTCACCACAGCCCCCGGCCCGACGCAGCGCCGCACGACCCCTAGTCCCCTCACAACCCCGCCCGCCCTCCCGAGCCAGGGCTGCCCGCGGTTGCCCCTCACCGTTCCCGCCCAGGCTGCGGCGCGGAAGGCTGCTCAGGAAGCGTCCGCCCGCGCGCCCAGCCGCCGGTGGGTCTGGCCGCGGCCGCTCCCCGCCCCCCGCCGGCTTGCTCACCCCTTCCTCCGGCTCCTCCTCCTTCTCCCGCAGCCGCCGCCGCCACAGCCGCCGGAAGCGTCACTTCCTCTCCAGCAGGCCCATCTCTTCCGCATTGCGCCGCGGCCGGGGGCGGAAGGCCCGCCCCTCGGGGGAAACGGCGGGGCGTCAGGAGGCAGGCCCCGCCCACTCCGAGCCTCCGTGCGGGTCCGAAATGGTAGGCTGCCTGCTGGCCTCCACGCGTAGCGACCTGCGCCTCCCCCAGGCGGCCTGTAGGCCAGGCCGCAGCTACAGGTCCGACCGCGGCGGAAGCGGGGACGAGGAGAATCGGCCTCCCTGGCCCCCTCGCGTGGGCTTTTCAGACCTTACCAACCCTCCCCGTGGGCGCCAGGGAGGGGCTCTGGGGAAAAGCTCTGGGGACCGGGTACTGATACGTGCCCAAGATGGGTGTCAGGACCACCCCCTGCCGCCCCCAGCGGCCTGACGGGCGTGGGGAGGGCTCGGGACGGCCAGCACGCCGGGCCCTCCGGGCGGCGCCCGAAGAGCTGTCCATGGTGTCTCCCCGCGAACGGCGCCCAGTTCCTGTTCTGAGCATCCGGGTAGGTAGCGGGAGAAAAACTAATGCCTACTTTGGAGCAACTCTCTTGGCTGTCGTTTCTTCTGAGTGTTCCAGGGCTCTCAGGAACACTACAGGAAAGACTGCTCCGCTGTACCTGTGGTGGAGAATCGAAGTCACAAACCAGGACCTCAAGACTGAGTTGAAACATGGCGGTACGGAGGCAGCTACGGTTGGCCCTGAATGGCGAATAGCTTTTGTCAGCCATGGAATTTAACAACTAACGGCGTCTAACCCTCTCATCTTCTCATTTTTCAGCAAATCATACTACGGTGGCTAATATTAGTGTGTCCCACGGACTTTCCCTTCTCTTTCCACTTGATAGACCTAAATGTGGGAATGAAGTCAAAGCCAAGAGGGCCAAAGGAATTGAAATCCTGAAGAAACCGTTTCTGCTTGTCTTCGTTTTTTCTTTACCTCTTCCTCTTCTTGCTTTTATTTTAGCAGCGAAAGCAGAATTTAAATTTGTTACCGTGCACAAAATCATTTCCCCCTCTGGGCCTTGTCATGTGGCTTGATTTAACATTTCTTCATCCTTTTTAGAGAAGCTGGACCCACCCTGGTTTCAGGATCCTAAAGTAGCTATCACTCACTAGAAGAGAAGCCTTTTCTTTTCTAGGACATATGCAAAGACACATTTAGTTCTGAGAACTGGAAAGGATTTCTCATTTAGTACTATTTACTTAGAAAAAGGTGTTTTGCTCTTAGTAGTGGTTACTGACAGCAGCCTCAGAATTAAACTTATATTAAGAGTCTCTGCTGGACTGTGGTTGCTTCCTACCCCCGCCCCCCGCCCCCAAAGAATCCATTTCTTTTTTTTTTTTTTTTAAGATTTTATTTATTTATTTGAGAGAGAGAGAATGAGAGACAGAGAGTATGAGAGGGAGGAGGATCAGAGGGAGAAGCAGACTCCCCGCCGAGCAGGGAGCCCGATGCGGGACTCGATCCCGGGACTCCAGGATCATGACCTGAGCCGAAGGCAGTCGCTCAACCAACTGAGCCACCCAGGCACCCCAAAGAATCCCTTTCAATTAGAGATTGCATTTGACAGAGGAAGTAAATGGGAGTGGGTGGGAATGGAAATTTTCCTATTTGCCTATTCAGTTATAATGCCTCTCTAGCCCTGAAGGAATGCCAAATGTATGTACCAGAAAAACATATGGAAGGATATTGCTCCAGGAGAGATGTTGATGTTACTAAATACTTGGCTTGGGAGTTGCTTTTTATGTCAGCTGAGACCCAGGAAAGATAAGTTGTTAAAAATTACTGTTTCAGGTGGAATTGGAACCTGAAACCTAACTTGCCCACCCCTAACCTAGGATCAGTTCCACCATGGCTGTCTGAGGCCACACGGGGAACCCCTCCTTCTCAGAGTGTCCTTTATGGGTGTTAGGCTCTTCTAGAAGCAGGTGTTCTGCCTATTTCTGGTTTCCTTTGATTTTGGATTAAGGAGATTAAGGTCAAAGTTTCTTGGTTCTGGGTTTGAATTGCTGTTTCTTTCTTCAGAATGAACTGGGGGGTGGGGGGAGATGGTAAGCAGGACTCTTATTCCTAGAGCTGTCCGAAGGCCAGGATTTTCCAAATCCTTTCAAAATAGATCATTTTAGTCATGAAATAAGCACATGCCCAGGGGTTGAAAACACAGGGCCATTTTACTAGTGACTTTTATAAAATGTTATTCCTTCTTTTTCTTGTCCCTCTTTACTATTTATACTTGTTACAGCACATGAAAAATAGCTGGACAAATTTTCATCAGATTTGAAGAGTGTGGGGAGGGGTGGTGGCTGACTTAAAATACATGTTAAGTGGCACACACAAACTTACTGAGGTCTTAAGGGCCCACAGAGATGTGCTGACATCTTCTTAACCCTTGAAAATGAGCAGTGAGGCCTGTGTTAGGCTGAAAAAAATTGCACATCCTAATCCCTGGAACATGTGAATGTTAATTTATGGGGAAAACAAGTCTTTGCTGATGAGACTGAGTTAAGGGTTTTGAGATTATTTTGCATTATCTGGGTAGGCCCTAAATGCAATCACAACTGTCCTTATAGGGTAGCAGAGAGAAATTTAGACACACACACAGGCAATGTGAAGACAGAAGTAGAGACTGAGGCAGTGTGGCCACCAGCCAAAGAATGTCAGTAGCTACCTCTAGAAGCCACCAGAGAGAGCAGGAAGGATTCTTCCCTAGAGCCTTTGGAGGATCATGGCCTTGCCACCATCTTGATTTTGAACTTCTGGATCCCAGAACTGTGAGAGAATTTCTATTGTTTGAAATTACCCAGTTTGTAATAATTTGTTACAACAGCCACAATCAATACAAGTCTTATGTGTGTTCCCATCAGCAAAAACAGTCCCAAATAGATGATTCAAATATGAACTTCAATAGCTTCAACAAATTGAAGGCAAACACCCAGAGTTTTAAATGCTGATTTTTGACCAAATTATTTCTCCTATGGGCAATTCTACCAAGTTAAAATATGCACTCACCATTTCTATAAGTCAAAAACACTCATATAGGGACTATAAATGGCTCAATCTAATATATGTTCCCAGTACACTATACCTAGGGTTTATTAATTTAGAATGACTGATTATTCTAATAACTGTTTTTAAAACTATACCATGTTACACGACTACGAATTTTGACAGATGTCTAAAATATGAATTAATAGTAGGGTCTACTTTTCCTTATAGCCTGAATTTTATCAAAAATACTAGAAAATGTTTGGCAAACTTGGGGAATATTAAAAGCCTGATCCAGTTATCTTTAACAGGCTCTTGTTCAGGTTACACAGACTAGAGCTATATCAGGATTTGCAGAGCTACTATTATATAGAAAGGGATGGCTCCTGAGAGACAACACAGTAAGTTCCAAATAGCATAGCTATTTGCTTTGAATAAGTTGTAGTAATCAGTGAAGAATAAGATTTTAAATTGGAGAAATGGAAACCTTGTAAGTAGAAAATATAGTAAGCTTGGGAGCAGAATCATTGTGAAAATAAAACTAAGCAAAAACTTCAAAGACTGAAAAATTGCTCACACATACCATAGGTAAGGACTGTGATGAACAGGTAACTTGTGTGTGCCAAAAAGTTTTCATTTGGAGTAACAGACCAACTCAAGGGAGCTCAAGTGAAGGGGTTTGTTTTAATGACACAAAAGGATTTTCATGGAAACCACAGGACCTAAGCAATAGCAGGGCTCAGCCTCACTGAGATAAGAGCTGGAGGGTGTTCAACGGTCAACCCAGCTCTTCATCCCTAAGCAACAGGTGTCTCTGGAATTTCAACACCTAAGGCTACATGTGAAAAAAGGTAAGCTTTCATGGGCAAAGTGTTTTGGTAAAGTAGTTTAAAATGTCTTCTACAGGATTTGTCAAATCTTTCACCATGTGTTTTGAATCATCAAGCATAGAATATAAAGTATTTGTTTCTGAAGATCTTTTTAAGTAAAGGCCCCCAAACTAAGCACCACAGTATATCTTCCGAGACATGCTGTGCTAGGCCTTCTCATTGAGCTGGATGATTGAACATCCAAGCCCCTGCTGGAGTTAGGGCTGCCAGGGCTAGAGGAAAGCCAGAACAAATTACTGGGGCCTGGAGGTCCAGAAGCAGGCCAGGGGCCAGTCAACACTGCACATCAAAATCAGTTCCACAGAACAATTTTTAGCCTGTCTGCCTTTGCCAGGTAGTCTGAAGACTCTGAGCAACTGTGAACCCAGTATCCATACACTTTCCATTTTGGAGGACAATCTCCAAAGCATTCTGGACAACAGCCTTATCAAAGCATAAGGCCTCCCAAACATTCAGACATATTACATCGTTCTCGCTACATGCAGAATTTCTGGTGTTTTAATTGTTCTTATTTTCATTTACTTGAAACGACAGACCAAAATGTTATAATTGGTGAATGGCGAGTCCCTTTACTATATGGACATTACCATGCTACAGATGAATTCTTGTAACCATACAGAACCACCATAGCGTAGCAACTTACGCGTTGCATTTTGCAGCTCTACAACATCTGACCATTTTTAGAAGGATTTCATGGTTTCAAGGGAAATTAGCATTTTAAAAAAATTTAAATCCAACTAATTAGCATATAATGTATTATTAGTTTCAGAGGTGGAGTTCAGTGATTCATGAGTTGTATATAACACCCACTGCTCATTACTGCCCCCCTTAATGCCCATCATCCGCTTACCCCATCCCCGCACCCAGAAATTAGCATTTAAAACAAAATGAGGCATTTGTCAAAACTCATGGAACTGTATGCACTTAAAGAGGGTAACCTTTAATGTTTATAAATTATACCTTAATAAACCTGGCTTTAAAGAAACTAGGGAACTTTACATTTTAGGGTACTCTCATCATGAGGAAGGTGCTCACTGTGAGGTGGTGCAATCTGGGGCCAATTCTGGGTGATGAGATTAGCATCACCGCAGGCAACTGTAGCTCAAGTTAACTGAAGCCCTCCTGGAGATGAAGAGGAACATACTGGAGAGATTAAAAGTTGGTATGGTAGACTTGAAATCGTGCCTCCCCAATCTCCCACAAGGAGACCCTGGGCACCACTGACTGAGCGCGGTAGGAAGACAAAAGCCAGCTCCTGGAGACCTAAACTCAGAACTGCAACTCTGGGTTGAGGAGTCCCTGTCAGCCTTGCTGAGACCTTCTTAGTCTTGCATCTGACACTTTAATTCCTGCCATCTCTGCTTCAGAGGTCATGCCCGCCTCATGACGATCTCGCAGTTCTCAAGCTCTCCCGGCTTCCTCCAGCTCCTTCTCCTTTCTCCCTCAATAATCTGCTGCTATCTCAGTGACTCCTCCCCAGACGACTGGAACTACTGGATATTTCTCTTCCTGCTCCCTTCGTTGGCTGAGGGCTGTTCTCTGGGACATTATCTGGTGGACGCTCCAGCCTGTTGCACAGGCCAAGAGAAAGCCCTCCGGCAGAGCCACACATGGCTGCGGGACACCAGCACATCCACAGGGATATGGGTGGGGCACCACCATCATGTGCTATAACATAGCCATCAGTCTTTATGACTGTGGTTTCTATTGCCTCAATAAAATAGCTTTCGTTTTCAAAAACCCTTCTCACCTATTTTGGAGTTATTTCAGGAGACTGATCCAAAAGGAAAAACTGAAGAAGCAAACCTTTAGCTTCGTTAAAATGTTACCCTCTATTTATCTTTTGCCAATTCCCTTCATAAGAAAGGATGTACTTTAGCTATTTCAGGAACAAAACTTTTTCCAGTTGAGATAGGAGAACTACTTGTTTTACGCACACATCTATGCTGAATTCACCTTACATCAAGGTCCCTGTGTGGTATTCAAACCCATTCCTGAAACAAAAACAGCCTGAGAGATTGCATAGGATAAAGTCTCCCGCTTACTGCAAGAGTCCTTAAAAGTGGACAGGGGAAAAATCACCAGTCTAATGGGTTTGGAAACACAAATTTAAGGCACACATGACGTGCATGTCCTATGTATACACGTTTAAATGTTTTATTCTGTTGAAGTTCTCATTTTAATTCTATTTAGTAGGCTACTATTGTGTAACAGAATGAATATGTAGGGATAAGTAATGTTCCTACAATAAAGATAAAACTGACAATGCACTTAGAGTGCATGACACTGTTATAGATATTATTTGACCTGACCAAGGGTACGCACACTGATAGTCTCACACTACGTTAGAGTCATATGAAATGCTCTAAAATCAGTTACCAGCAAAATACAACAAAGGA